ATGGACCTAATGAGCCTCTAAACCAATTTTGGTGAAGATCCATCCACACCCTGCGAAGTAGTTACATGGACAGACAACAGACAGTACTATTATGTTCATATAGATTATATTAAAAAAAAGTTTCTGTAACGTACACTAATCACTATACCTTAAGGTTTAGTATTTTTTGTAATACAAAAGGAGTTCAACTGTGATGAAAACTTTACAAACTTGTTTATTACATGTTTGTGACTTAAGTTATGCCGCATTGAGCTATATGTAGCTTTTGAACAGCATAAAACCACACTCGTGGTTGTATTGTTTTCCCCAGAGCGCACGTAAGCACAGTTTAAAAATGACTTCTAAGAATTTCTTTACAAAAGTAACAACCTGGACTTGCTTGACAATGTAGGTTGTCCTATACACCTAACCTTAGAGAAATAAATTTAACTTGTTCAAATATACCGGCAAATACGTTACCGAACTATTAGCTATTCTTGCAACATAACTATTAAGGACTTACTCAATATTCCATCCTCTAAATGCGAGTGTAATTCATCCCCTTACATCAGTGTTTTCCAAACTTTAAATAGCGGCGCTCTCTAACTCAGCAAAGTTTCCTTTGCGCCTCTCCCCCTTCACGTTAAAACAATTTTCGCAAGTGATAACAGAAAAATTAACATTTTCTTTACCTGTTTTTTAATAAAAAAATGAAAATGAAAAAATGCTTGTTAGGAGAGAGTAAATGCGAGGGCAAAAAATAAAAAAAAAGCTTTGATAGCAAGGTGATAGTTTCGTCAGGTTATCCTCGTCGCCAACTCTTCTGTTTCTTAGGTCGTTATTTTTGGGCTCTCCCGCCAAAGGCTGCCCCTCCCAAGGGGGCAAGCCCCACAGTTTGGAAAACACTGCATTACATATATTCTCCCATCAACCACGTACTCAGCAGTAACCTTGACAGTATGACTAACGAAGATTTAAGACTATTAACGAGTGAAGGTCCTAAATTCCGGGAATGCCCTAAAATTACTTGAAACCCAGCAAACAAGTAATTATCACATCAATCAGTAAAGTTCTAAATAAATAAAGTACAAGAGAAAACTTAAAAGTAATCACATTTAGAAAACGGGTAAACATTGTTAAAGATATAATCCACAAATATATAACACAGAAATTCACTATTAACAACAATGAACATGTTATGGGAAAGAAAAAAGTTGCTGGGCATATATATTACTTACGTAGAAGATACATCATCGTTCCCGCTTATAAAGTAGCTAACAAATCTGTTTTCACTTGTAAAAAGTTTTATATTAAAATTTTACGTAAAAATTTAGTGTGATATATAAATATACCATGCCCATGTGTTTATATCTTCTTCTAAGTGTTATGAATGTGTGATTTCACATTAAATGTGGTAAAGAAAACCGTTACGTACGAAATACCTGTTATCACCCGTGGAGAACATTGCTTAGTACGACCTTGTGTAAGTATGTCGATAACAGTGTCATTCAACAGTTGTTTAGGTGATATCTGGGAGTTATGGCCTCATCTATGTGTAATGAGAATGACCAGTCACATGGTACGCATGTTCCGCTGCGTAAATACGAGGATGGGAATCAGTTAAAGACCTTTACTAAACTTGTGAATCCGCCGAATTTGTCCAATAACAAAAAACTGGCAGTGACCTGATAAAAAATTCGTGATAAATTTTTATATTTCAATTCATACTGAGGTGTTCACTCGTGAAAACCTACCGTGTCTGTTATATCCCAACCGGTCTGATGAGCATACCGTGTCTGTTATATCCCAGCCGGTCTGATGAGCATACCGTGTCTGTTATATCCCAGCCGGTCTGAAAACCTACCGTGTCTGTTATATCCCAGCCGGTCTGATGAGCATACCGTGTCTGTTATATCCCAGCCGGTCTGATGAGCCTACCGTGTCCGTTATATCCCAGCCGGTCTGATGAGCCTACCGTGTCCGTTATATCCCAGCCGGTCTGATGAGCATACCGTGTCTGTTATATCCCAGCCGGTCTGAAAACCTGCCGTGTCTGTTATATCCCGGCCGGTCTGACAACCTGCCGTGTCTGTTATATTCCAGCCGGTCTGAAAAGCTACCGTGTCTGTTATATCCCAGCCGGTCTGAAAACCTACCGTGTCTGTTATATCCCAGCCGGTCTGATGAGCCTTGATATTTAAAAAAGGCCTCGTCGACAATGGATATGACAGATATAGTGTGGTTGACATAACTATTACACAACTTAACATGACTGAGCAGCTGATCCAGAAACTAAAAAGTGAAAGGTTATACGCAATAGAAGAAACTGTTTTTTTATAATATTTATTTTTCAAGGGGTTTATCAAAATATAACTATAATTATGGATTTAAGGTTACATTCGTGTTATTTCTATGCTTTGCCCAGTAACTTCTACTGTGTTACAGTTTGCTCTTTTATTGAGTATTCTACAAACATTGAAATTAGTAAATTATTCACAATTAATCAGTTTAATAAGAATTGACTGAATTAAGGAAATGTAATGTTCACGTGACCGGAAATGATGCATGGAGAAAGTTGGGCTTGTTTGCCAAGTCTGGAATGCTTATTTCCTCACGGAAATCTGGCAACCACGAAAGCCTTAGATTTGACAATATCATATACTATATTAATCTGAGAACACCTAGTATAAGCGACGATACGATGGAAGTAAACCGCAAGTACATACTGTACGTTTGTGTTTCATATTTAATGAATAAAAAATCAATCTGCCACAGTGAATATGCATAAAATTTAATCCAAAACCAAATAGCTTCCAGGGCCCTATGGCAAGTCCTAGACGCAAGCCGTAATGGATGCGTCACGGTCAGCAGGGCTTGGTGCTATTTGCTGAAGATCTATTGGACTCTGGTCTGAAACACAGACGCAACAACGGGCGAAAACGGTTACGTACAGACCTGCCGGTTACACAACAAGAAATAATGTTATTAGTTACGGGGTTTCTGTTGATGACGTGGCCAGTCATGACTTGGTCATTGTTTGTCCGATTTGGAAACTGTAAATTATAATCGTCATATCTCATCGTATGCTACATCATGTACACGTTTAATCAAAATTTTGTAAACTCTGGATTTTCTTGCGTCAGAGGCGTCTTGAGAGAGAGAGATCCTGCGTCAGTAATAGCTTTATAACAATACTGTATATAGTATATGACGTCATTAGTTGCTACATTAGTGCTTGTCAATTACTTTATTTGCTATATTTTCGATTTTTAAAATTTTCTTTATAAGCCTAATTATTATTATTGAACTTTCTTGAGGCTTATTGCGTTTACATTTCGGCTTGTACAGAACATTTAACTTTATTTAATGCTTCCTTTTGCCCACTCCACGTGTTCCGTGTTATAACACACCTCATAGTATGTTTAATATAACTTTCTTTTTATTGAATTTCGTACTTATCATTTTGTATCTTCATAAACATTACTTTTTGGCTGTACTCTTAGTAATGCTCCGATACTTGGCTTCAAACTTAACTAGAAAAACGTGTCCTAGTAATTTATTTCAGATTACACACTCCTCTAAGTTACACTTTTGGAGCTGTTTAATAGGTTTTCATTCGTTTTTAGATTGTGTTGAGTTTTGCTTATATGCGGTTATACTGATTTTACGTTGTTCAACAAACATGAAATAGGCGGCAGTACTTGATACGAATATCTAGTGTTTGTGTGTATTCCTTAACGAATACACTATTTTTATTGTTTATTTGTTACTTTCATTAACAGTATTCAATAGAATGTTAAATATATCTTTTTTATGACTTTTTATTATTAATCTTTTAATATATTGATTGATTTGCATTGTTAGCTTAGTATATGTATGTAGTACTAACCTAAATCTCTTAAGCTGGTCGAACCTCGTGGGATACTATTGGGATTACGACCGAAAGATATTGTTTACATAGGATATCCAGATGAAAACTTATAATCTTTATAAGTAAGATCGTAAGAAAAGTACACTGTATCAGTTATATTCATCACTAGGTTGATTTTTCAATTCGGTCTAAATAGGTAGCTTGCTCTGATTGGAAGTTAATATGAATTACATCTGAGCAAGAAAAGTAATTAGGTCTGGTTTCTTTACCATCAAAGTATCGATTTGTTTTTATAATTCACATTATTATTATTATTATATAGACTACGTAACGAACAAAGTCACGGACTCGCAAGTAATTTGGTGCATACCTGATTCTGAAAAATGTGTTTAAAAAGTTGAAGAACATCATAATTAATTCTAAAATTAATGTTTTTTTCTTAATACAAGGTTTGCACTTGGAGATACAGGAGCGAAACGAGAGAGAAAAAGAGAATCTTCAAAGTTGGTATAACAAAGAATAAAAGTAGGCCCGCAACTTTTGTCATAATACACAAAGTAACTTACATCACCATGGCAACATTTTTCATTATTTGTCCACACGGTCCAAACTGGTATACTGGGCTGGGAGCATTGAGAGAACGGGTCCGCCTACACGAAAAAAGTAACATTAGTCAACCACGTTATAAATATTTTAGTAATTACAGACAAAAAACAAAAAACAAAGGCAAAACGTTCTTTTTGAACAATATTAAAACAGCAGTGACTATATTGCTACTAGTAAAATTTGATCCTGCAGGAAACAGTGCTGCAAACAAAAAAAGTAACATGTTGAAGCAGTAAAATATCGAAGATTGTAACTACTACGGAATAATTTTAATGAACAGCTTAACGAAGTTTAATCATCGCAAAGTACACTTTTCACTAAATAGGCAATGCTTTCAGAGAAACGTTTCTACCATAATTAACTAAACACTAGTATACATTCATAACATTAGTTTCACGTTAAAAATCAGACAGGAGAAACGCATCTCGAATGTGTGGCTTTTCAACGTAACTTATACATGTTGAGATATGTTTAACATTTCTAAAAAACATATGGTAAAATATAACAAAAATCGAAAATATGACGTAATAATTGCGCGTTTATAATGGATCGAAGGCAGACACACTTCCAAAGTTTTGTAATATTATATATATATATATATATACACGCACATATAATAAAGTATTACAACATATATTTTACTTCAAGAATGTGTGATATAAGAGATAGATAAGCCTATAGGGGATCGAACTAGGCTCATCGCGACGATTATATATACACACTAGTGGCTGTGTGCCACATAATGTTAAGGTTCATGGTATTTACACGTGTTTCACATTTACACACATAATTGCATAGTGAAAAGTGGAATATCAACGTACAAAGAAAAATAAAGTTGAAGTTCTAGGATATTTAGACACTTAAAACGCTAGAACTTCAAGTTTATTTTTCTTTGTACGTTGATACTCCGGATATTATTTAGACATTTAAAACGCGGAGTATCAACGTACAAAGAAAAATAAACTTGAAGTTCTAGGATATTTAGACATTTAAAACGGAGTATCAACGTACAAAGAAAAATAAACTTGAAGTTCTAGGATATTTAGACATTTAAAACGTGGAGTATCAACGTACAAAGAAAAATAAACTTGAAGTTCTAGGATATTTAGACATTTAAATAGAAAATTAGCGCTGTGTACTATTAAATAAATATGTTTGTTTGTGTGGGGGGGGGGGGAGAGAAGGTATATATACTGCGCCCCACTTAAACTAAAGAAAAAAGACAATGAACCCAATTCTTTGGAGAACTTCGTGAAAATACTATCTCCATTTTTTAAATAAAGTAAAACAAAAGAATTATCACTGGAACCGAAAGTGGGAAGAGTTACATTGTTCGCTGTTAAAATAGCCCATCATTTGGCTAATATGTGGCCAAGCAGTATAAATGATTAGTTTCGGCTAACTATTTTGATGGTTTCCTGTGAACAACTGTTTGGTTAGTTTTAAAAATTATCTTTTGAAAGTGTAAGCTGGTGAAACACCTAATTACTTTACAAAACACCTTTCACTAAATACGTGAATACATTTTTATATACGAAGTGCATTCCTATAAGCTGACGTCAGCATTATTACCTGGTGCGTAAGAAACCTAATGCTGCACGAACGTAAATAAAAATTCTTAAAGGTACCATATTTCTTAGAACTAATTTTACAGGACCTGAATGCTACAGGTTGACAGTGATCATCTGCAGGCCAACAACATCCAAGAAGCCTACACAGACGAAGAAAGAATGCCTCCATTATCAGTAGCCCTTCGAAAGAAGAGAAGAAAAAGGTAAAGAGGAAAGGGAACAAGTACAAGTTTGACGTTGGAACCAGAGAGCTGAGAAAAAAGAAAGTGTATTATATAAAATTAAGGAAACATCCCAGTTCTTACGCAGACGTTTGAAAAGCATAATTCATGAACTAGCTATTCACTGAAGCTCAAAAGTTTTAAGCGTACAAGATTTAACAGCCATCATCCAGGCAAACCAATAACAATATATACGCCTTCTTAACTCGCAAAATCAGGTAGTGAAACACATGTAATTGACTGGTAAATTACTAGACTGAAACAATTATATTCATAATAACGTACACTTACTTATACAAAAAAAAAGGCATGTGGAAAAGCGTGTATGTATGTATGTATATATAGTTTTAAATAGAAGAGTAACATGAAACAAACATTTCAGTTTCAAAATGAAATAATGTTATTGTATTAAATAAACTCACGTAACTTATGTTAGATCACAGACATGAAATAACGTATCTATAGGAAATTAATTTCATACGTTGGCTTATAGCAGTTCTCTCGTAACATGACAAAGTTTAATTTTTCGATATATCAGATGACCAGTATGATGTAATAGCACGAACCAATTATTAAGTAACCAGGTAACATATTTTAACGCATGTTTTGTATGTATTTAGATTTTTATATATGGTAATTGTTGAACAAGATAAACTGGCACAAAGAAACGAAACAAAGAGATGGCAAGATACGAAGAAACAAGTATCACTACGAAGTCCTATCTGGTATAGATATCTCTACTTTCAAACTGCTGAGTCATCCTCCAGGCACGGCTGTCTGTGTACTAGATTTAATGGCCTATCTTTGTATATAATGTTACGTACGCTTAACCTAGATAAAACTGAAGATTATGAGACTTAAGAGTGAATCAAAAAAATCGAACAGCCAAAAAATCATATAGACATAGAAAACATTCAATGTAAAATTATATATGCGTGTGTGTATAAATCTTCTTACCAGTGATATCAACGCGATACGAACTTCAGGCAAATCGTTTTGACAAACGTAAAGCTGCGAAACATGACAGGCTGGAGTTTGAAACAAATTTTCAAACTCTGTACTAAATTAGCCGAATGTGATCGCGTCTATTTATCAATGATACATATAATAAACTTCGTAATGTGTTACAGTTAATAAATTAGGCATGGGCGGAGTTCGCTACTGCACTCACAACGTTTTCATTTTAACTTTTTAGGGACACAATGATTCTACGTGTTCTCCCACACACACACCTGTTTGAAGATACACAAACACGCACAGAATGTGATTTAATTCAATAAATGTATATGAACATACAACTATTAAAAAATATTTACCTTTTAAAAGTTTAGCATTTCGTCAAGCAAACAGATTAATTTCTCTATAGAATCTAACTCGGTGAAAGTGACTTCAGGCTTCGAATAATTGATGAATAAAGCATATCTGTCCATTAAGTCCCGAATGACCACACACGCAGCTGTTTCATCATATACGCATGCGCAAAACTGTTGTCCATTGAAGGTTACGTACGTGTAGTAATTTCTTTTGGCAAGAATAAAAGGAAGGTTTTCCTTCTGATTGTTCATCACTCGATATTCTAAACACTCACACCTTTAGTTGAAGAACTTTGAAGGAATGCAACTACTGGGAGAACGGGATACGATGTATAGCCTTCTATATTGAAGCTTTCTTCAAACCTCGTTCTAACTTGAGTTTAAATAAGTTTAAAGTTCACGACATAACGCTTCAGCAGCATTCACTGCTAATACCTATTATACTTGTATCACGAAGATATTCGAAATCAGTTAATAATGGCGGTACTGTATGCCACATAAAAACATTGCTGCCAAACACTAAAGTAATTTAGGAAGTAAATAAGTCAAGTGTATCTAGGAATGTTCTATACAGGCAACAATTTCTACCGTTCAGCTCACTTTTTTTGGGGTAGAGAGAGATAAAGAACGAAATGAAATTTTATCGTACTAGTTCCTGGTTCAAACTCTTGATTAAAAGGTTACCACACACAATAATTAATAGTAGCCAGCTTTTCATCATTGAAAAAAAAAAACAATCTTTGCTTCACTGTTGACTATAAATTAAACTGCCACCTGTCGTATCCAATTCTATGGTTGTTCAGTTGACACACGACAGGTATAGAGGGCAAAGCAACGACGCGCGATAGGTATACAGTGTAACGCAACGACGCGCGATAGGTATACAGTGTAACGCAACGACGAGCGATAGGTACAGGGTGTAAAGTAACGACGCACAATAGGTACAGAGTGTAAAGTAACGACGCACAATAGGTACAGAGTGTAAAGTAACGACGCACAATAGGTACAGAGTGTAAAGTAACGACGCACAATAGGTACAGAGTGTAAAGTAACGACCACAATATGTACAGTGTAAAGTAACGACGCACAATATGTACAGAGTGTAAAGTAACGACCACAATATGTACAGTGTAAAGTAACGACCACAATAGGTACAGAGTGTAAAGTAACGACCACAATAGGTACAGAGTGTAAAGTAACGACCACAATAGGTACAGAGTGTAAAGTAACGACACACAAAGCTGATTTTCA